AGGCATTATTACCTGGGCTTCAACAATGAGGAAATGGATCTTGGTATTAGAACCTACTATCTCTGCTTTTTAAGTATAAGTAAACAATTGTACAGAATTCATATTACAGTCACTCCCAACAAATCCTCTTATCATCCTCATTTTCCCATTGTTGTATAAACCTATGGCGCAAGGGGCTACCTATCAAGATTCAGGTGTCCAGAGGGCAAAACCAGGCAATGGCCCCTCAGGACCACTCAGTTTGTTGCACATAATATACACAACTCAAGGCTGGGCATGGTGGCTCACAACTGTAATCCTAGCACTCTGGGAAGCCAAGGTGATAGGATCACTTGAGATCAGGAGTTTGAGACCAGCCTAAGCAAGTGTGAGACCCCATTTCTACTAAAACTATAAAAAACTAGCTGGGTGTGGTTGCATATGCCTGTAGCCCCAGCTACACAGGAGGCTGAGGCAAGAGGATCACTGAAGCCCAGGAGTTTGAGGTTGCTGTGAGCTAGGGTGACACCATGGCACTCTAGTCCAGGTGACAGAGCAAGACTCCATCTCAAAACAAACAAACAAACAAACAAACAAACAAACAAAATATATACACACACACCCCACAAGAAATCTGCTGAGATTATAACACATAAATTTTGAAACAGTGCAGTTCTGCACATGGCATATATATGACAAGAACTTGGAAAACCTAGGAGAAAATTGGATAATTTTCTGAATAAATTCCTACACACATACAACCTACCAAGAACCAAGAAGAAACGTAAAACCTGAATAAACCAATAACAAGAAATGAGATAGAAGCAGTAATAAAAGGTTTCCCATCTGGATAAGTCTAGGACCCAATGAATTTATTGCTGAATTCTCCACCATTAAAAAGAACTAAGGCCAATCCAAAAACTATTCCAAAAAATCGAGGAGGAAAGGTTACTCCCAAACTCATTCTATGAGGCCTTTATCACCCTGATACCAAAAACAAAGGCACAACAAAAAAAGAAAACTATGTGCCAATATCTCTGATGAACATAGATGCAAAAATCCTCAACAAAATACCAGCAAACTGATTTCAACAATACATTAAAAAGATTGTTCATCATGATCAAATGGGATTCATCTCAGGCATGCAAGGATGGTTCAATATACAAAAATCAATCAATGTGATACATGGTATCAACAGAACAAAGGACAAAAACCATATGATCATTTCAATTGATGCTGAAAAAGCATTTGATAAAATTCAACACCACTTCATGATTAAAACTCTCAAAAAACTAGGTATAGAAGGAACATACCACAATATTATAAATGCCATATATGATACACTCACAGCTAGTCTCATACTGAATGGGGAAAAGCTGAAAGCCTTTATTTAAAATCTAAAACAAGACAAGGATGCCACTTTCACCACTGTTACTCAACATAGTACTGGAAGTTCTAGCTAGAGCAATCAGACAAGAGAAAAACATAAAAGGCATGCAAATTGGGAAGGAAGAAGTCAAATTATCTTTGTTTGCAGATAATATGATCTTATATCTAGAAAAACCTAAAGACTCCACAAAAATACAATTAGAACCAATAAAAAAATTCAGTAAAGTTGCAGAATACAAAATCAACATACAAAAATGCTACTGAGCATTTCTGTATGCCAACAGTAACAATGTGAAAAAGAAACCAAGAAAATAATCCCATTTGCAATAACTACAAATAAAATAAATACCTAGGAATAAACTTGACCAAAAAAATGAAAGACCCCAATAACAAGAATGTAAAACATTGATAAAAAATAGAAAAGGACACACAAAAGGGAAAATATTCCATACTCTTGGATTGGAAAAATCAACATTGTTAAAATGTCCATACTACACAAAGTAATCTACAAATTCAATACAATCCCCATCAAAATATCAATTACATTCTTCACAGAAATAAAGAAAAATCCTAAAATTTATATGGAACCACCAAAGACCCTGAATTGCCAAAGCCATTTTGAACAAAAAGAGAAAAACTGGAGGAAACACATTACCTGATTTCAAATTATACTACAGAGCCATAGTAACCAAAACAGCATGTTATTGGCATAAAAGCAGACACACAAACCAATGGATCAGAGTAGAGAACCAAAAATAATCCACACATCTATAGTGAACTTATCTTCAACAAAATGCCGAGAACATACAGTGATGAAAGGATGATCTCTTCATAAAATGGTGTTGGGAAATTGGATATCTATATGCAAAAGAATGACACTAGACCCTTATCTCTCACCATATACAAAAATCAAATCAAAATGGATTAAACACTTAAATCTAAGACCCGAAATTTGAAACTACAAAATAAAACAGTAGGGAAATACTTCAGGATATTGGTTTCTTTTCTTTTCTTTCTTTCTTTCTCTTTTTTTTTTTTTTTTTGAGACAGAGCCCAGGCTAGAGTGCCATGGCATCAGCCTAGCTCACAGCAACCTCAAACTCCTGGGCTCCTCCTGCCTCTGCCTCCAGAGTAGCTGGTACTACAGGTGCATGCAACTGTGCCCGTCTATGTTTTTCTATTTTTAGTAGAGATGGGATCTCACTCTTGCTCAGGCTGGTCTCCAATTCCTAACTTCAAGTGATCCTCCTACCTCTGCCTCCCAGAGTGCTAGGATTACAGACATGAACCATCACACCCAGTCAGGACATTGGTTTAGGCAAGGACTTCTTGAGTAATACCCCCAAAGCACAGGCAATCAAAGCAAAATTGGACAAACAGAACCATATCAAGCTAAAAAGCTTCTGCACTGCAAAGGAAACAATCAATGAAGAGAAGAGACAATCCCACAGAATGGGAGAAAATATCTGCAAACTACCCACTTGACATGGACAATAAACTAGAATATATAGGAGCTCCAACATTGCAGGAGAAAAAAACAAATAATGCAATTTAAAATGGGCAAAGGATCTGAATAGACATTTCTCAAAAGAAGACATACAAATGGTCAACAGGTATATGAAA